CTGTAAGGTTGGCATTGTTTTGTTCCCTCTGATGTTGATAATCGTGTTAGTGACTTTTTAGTATACCCCTATTAGAGGGATATAATTTTATGCCAGCTTACTCGTTCGACTCTTACTGATGTTTTGTTAATGTTTTTAAAAATCTGACCACCGGTAGGCCATAGGGTAGGCCACAGGGTAGGCCATGGCCTACCCCACGTTTTGTCCACACCCCGCTTGGGCCCAACACAAGGCGCCATCTTGGAAGAGGGGAAAACTGATACAAATGGTTGACAGGCCAAACACGACTCCTATTGGGCAAGATAGAGCTAGCCAATGGCGTTGTGTACTTTTCGATCCTTATTTGTTTGAAGCTCGACCTCGTTATTTTGTGTCCCTTTGACGGCATTTTTTCTAGATTTCTAGCACTCGATGGCGAACCTGCAGTGTGGAGTTATTTTGATATAAACACACACCTTCTGAGTGCGTATTTTTTGGCTATATGCTCCTTGACATTAGTTGAGTGCTGGTGTGGCTCGCTCGATGTAGAACGGGGCCTGTCCATAAAAGGGGTTGACAAGTCTACACGACTCCTGTGGCTGGTGACATTTTTACATTTGCCGTACTCTTTTTGGTTTCTCGACCTTTTTGTTGTGTTTATGAAGGGCACTTCATGTTGTGTTATAAGGAGGATTTTTAAGTAGAGATTAGCCGTTAGACCGTGCTATGGCTTTGTTTTTTTTTTAGGTCAACCCCCTTCCCGTATGAGTACATGGTATTACCCAAAATATAATACAGCTAAAATAATGTAACTAAATTACAATTATAATTAAATTAAGTAATAGTATTCTGTCTGTAATCCATGCATGAATGGATATAGGAAGCTGTGAGTCTGCAGATATGGGGGTCAACATTATTGAAAATAAAGAGAATTTTTTGATCTATTATCCAGAGCATCAAAATGATTGTATTTTCTATTTATATTTTCAAAAAAAATTGAAGCGTAATTTATCGTAAAGGTGACGGGAAAGTATAAAATGGAATTCATTTTCAACTTCATTCAAATAATAGAAAGGACAAATTGACCAAATTTTTGGTAAGTAAAAATACAAAAGCGCAAAATGGTCAGGTATTAAGAGTTTTAACACTAACTTGTGTTTTTTTTTTCTTAGTGTTACCCATGACGTTGGGGCTGTTGGCTGCCTGAAGAGGGTGAAAAGTGCTATTTCAGTAGCACGAAGTGTTATGGAACACACATCTGAAACATTCTTAGTAGGAGATGATGGTATGGTACTGTTCTTGAGCTATTGTAGTCTTAAGAAAAGTGGCTTCTAAAGATAAGGTCTTTAGCGCGAATTAGCTCTGTATGGAAAAATACAATCTTAACATGGGCTCTTGGAATCCTAAACAAATATATGGGCGGCCTCGGGCCACACTCAAGACCTCGGGTACAGTTTTTCCAAATACGGACTAACCTAGGTCGGCAAATAACATGTTTATGTTTTTCCTGCGGTAAGTTGTTTACGCAACTTTGTCATTGAATCTACTTCCGTGTAGTCTACTAACGATTCGTAGAAAATCTTCGCAACGAGTGAGTAACTCAGATGTTAGACAAAGAAAGATGTGTTAAAGAACCGATTGATTTCAAACTACTTTACGTAACAAGTGAATATATGAAAAATCATATATTTGAATTGTGGGGAAAGATATGAAGTGATTGATCATCGCCGTTATGCACACAACTTAAGCAGTTGTAAAATTAAAGCCTGAAAAAAATTCAGGCCTGAACGGGATTCGAACCCATGGCCTTTGCGATACCGGTGCAGTGCTCTACCAACTGAGCTATCAAGCCAACTGGGAGCTGGTGACATTGTGAGTTCGTTATACACCCGTAGATGGTGAAGAATACAAGTGAATATATGAAAGATCATGTATTTGAACTGCGGAGAAAGATATGAAGTGTCTTCTACTTTACGTTAGTTTCATTTTGTTCACCAGCTAAGGTCTCCAAAATTGTTTTTCCGTTGTGGAAGTTTGTGCAAAGTTTGAAGTTGTACTACAAAAACAATCTCTCTCAGTCGCTGCAAATCACTCGAAATCAGAATGGCAGAAAGTGAGGAAATCCGTTAATTGTATTCCACAAAAATTCTCTTAAATACACCAACCATCAGAGAGGTGGGTAAAAAAGGTAAAGTCTGCATACAAGCCAAGTGGCTCATCAGGTCGTAGCTCATCCCAGTTTCCGTAGCATAAAGCGACTAGGAGTACTTTTACTCCCCCCTGGATGGGATGCTAGTCTATCGCAGGGTTGCCCCCAGCATTAAGTTCCCTGGTACCCATTTATACTCCTGGGTGGAGAGAGGCACTGAGGGTAAAGTGTCTTGCCCAAGAACACAACACAATGTCCCCGGCCAGGGCTCGAACCAGGACCGCTCGATCCTGAGACCGGCGCACTAACCATGAGACCACTGTGCGAAGAAATTTGTTAATTGTATTCCACAGAAATTCTCTTAATTTCACCAACGATCAGAGAGATAAACTCAACTAAAATTGACTCATTCTTTGCTTAAAATTGTACGGAGAAAGAAACACAGGATTACGCGCCATTACAGCGCCGACCTGCAAACAACCAAACAAACTTTCACAATCTTAAACATTCAATTGAATTCAATTACAGCGACTTTCCTTGCCATTTAAAGGTGAATAGAGATAACTTGCGTTGAGTAATCGTCGAGGGAAGTATAAAAAGGGCAATAGATTAATGATGACCGCTATTTTTTTTCATTTTTTTTTCCAACCCGCCGTGAGCGAGCCGGAAGACCACGCCGAGCAGAGGTTTAGGCTGCGCTTCCATACATTAACTTCTGTCAATCAAAGATCGAATTCTGCCCGCTCACGAGCTGAGAAAAAATTGGATACAGTTGAACCCGGCTATTTCGAACTCTCAGGGGAAACGAAAAATAGTGTGAAATAGTGGAAATATTTACCTTTAATTTCGTTCTTTATTTTTTGTAACATGGTACAAAATAGTAACAAGCTTCCTGAAAGCTTACTGAGAAATACTGAACTGATCACTTGTATTTTCTTTGAATAAATACCGTACATAAACTGAATAACGCTTTCACTTCATATATATTTATATATAATAGACTACACAAAATTTGCTAAACAATGAACACAAACGGTTGACAACAGAACAATGCTATATTCTCCTAATCTATTGTACAGCGACAGATTCATTTATCCAATTCAGTCAATATAAGCCGCTGATAGCTAAGATACACGTTTAGGAAGAAGCTTGATGCTTTTTGATGTGCCACCAACATTGATAAATACTTCATTGCCCAAATCATTTTAAAAGTATGAATGAGTTGGCTCAGAGCCCTTTGATTAAAAGTTAAATGAGTTCCTTTAACAATTTTAAAACTTTTTCGGTACCTGTTACATTTTCTCCTGTCACCTCTCCTGTATGTCAAACATTTGCGGCTCTCGCACTTGTTTAGCGCGCTTTACAGTTGGATTTTAGTACAATTTACTACGGATAGCAGCAAGTTTTTCAGCTAGGAGTCGTTAACAGTTAGCAGTATATGCTGCTATTCCCTTGTTACTGGTTTCAGTACAGGTACACTAAATTTTATTTCGTCATAGTAGAAAAATTTGGCTTCGTTTTTGTCTCGTACTTGGTAGCGTAGTTGATTACGTCAATGTTAACCCTAGCGCGCGCGTAGCCTTTAAATCACGCGTTGCGTGATGCACAGAACGTGCACGCAGGCACCGTGCATAAGGAGCTCAGTCATGATATTTTTGGGTTATTTTGGCCTTATGCAAAATTACCTTCAAATTGATTGAAACCTGAAAATAGTGGTTTACTAAGATATAAAAACAATAAAGAGTTAATAATAAACCATAAAGGATCAATCAAGGGTGGTCAAGTATGGTTAAGATTGACACGGTTTGCAAACAACGAACGTGAAAAATTGAGGCTTAACTTTTCAAGATGCGCAAACCGTGACATAGTTCCTTTAAAGACGTCCGCGCCCATTGTTACTGCGGAACCTTACTGCGCACGTAATTCTTGTTGCAACGTCACGCCACGTCATACATCAAGCGCACGCACCAAGGAAAAAATATAAGCAAGTATAGGGTTTGGCCCCGGCTGCGCCAACGTCTCCTGCAATTTACTTTCTTAAATGGTTGGTGACCCCCTTCTTTTCTTTTCATATCATTTCCTTTAGTGATTTTCTCCATTGTTTTTTAAAAAAAGGAGAAAAATCTGTCCGTTAGAAGTCACAAATATTGATCGTTTTCTGCTGTTTTCTTGGAATGTGGACGGGTAAGGCTAATATGTCTTCTTTTTCAAGGCCTATTCTACCTCAAGGAAAGACCTCAGCTGCAAACATTTACTTATTAATGTACTTCATCATCATCATCAGTCCTAGCTCTCCTCTGGGAGAATAGGGCCATTGACTTGTCTCCTCCAATCTGCCTCCGTCCCTCGCAGGGGCGACAGCTTCATTCCAGGTGGCAAAGCCCATCTTCTGCCTCTCTTCCTCTACAGTTCTCCTCCATGTCTCATTTAGTCTACCTCTGCTCCTCTTACCCTCGGGTGCCCAGGTTAGGGCAATGCGTGGGTTCTGTTGGTGGTCCATACGCAATACATGCCCTATTCAGCGCCACCTCCGTCTCCTAATCTACTCACTGATGGTGCAAGTCCTAGCTCTTCGCCCCGCTTCTTCGTTGGTAACCCTCATCGACCAATATACCTTTAACACCCTCCGTAGGCACTTGTGGAGGAATGTGTCCAGCTTCACCTCGTCCCTCTTGGTCACTCTCCAAGTCTCGCATCCACAGAGTAGCACTGCTATGATGTTGGATTTGAAGATCCTGATCTTGGTGTTTTTGCTCAGTTGACCACTTCTCCAGATCTTGGCTAGTTTGTTAAATGCTGCTGTAGCTTTTCCTAAGCGGCGCTTGATGTCATCTTCAGCCCCTCCATGTTTGGTCACTCTTGCTCCTAGACAGTCAAAGCCATCCACGTCCTCTATTTCCTGTCCATCTACTACAACTGCATTGTTGTTTTTTACGTCGATCCTCATGTGTTTGGTTTTCTTGGTGCTGATTTTCAGGTCCGTTCCCTTCCCTTCATCGTCTGGATGTGTATGAAACTTAATACACTTAGTTGTGTTTAATTTAGTATGTTTCCTAATCTAAATTTCACTTATGTAGCTTCTTTTATTGCTGTTATTCATAAAATAACGAGAGCTTCTAAAAAATTCGTGGTCTTAAATGCATCTTATTTCGAGCACAAGCACGGAAACTCCTTTCCCCCGCCCCCCCATTTTTTTACTTATTTTACTTATTGGCAGAAGTTGATCTTTGCCTTACTGCGTGGCAAGTTTTAAAACAAAATTGTACGTGGAAACTTTTGGGGCGTTGTTTTTAGGAGTGTTTCAGTCAAGTAACTTATTTCATTCTTTTCAGCTACCCGCTTTGCACTCCAGATGGGATTTTCAAATGAAGACTTGCACACGAACCACTCAAGGTACTGCAGTAAGGAAGTTCTCTAAAAAGAGTAGGTTTTAAACAAAAGAATTCCGATGTAACTGAAGTGAGAGTAGTGGCAGAGAACCATGTGGTTGGAAGTCTTTTTGTCCACATCGCGCAAAATGGCTATTGTTCTCGCGACATTTAGTTGCAGTTCAAGAGAGGTTCTAGGATTGTCATATTACGCGTTATTATAGGGGGCTAGATAAAAGTTTATTTTGACATGCTTGCCCCGTCAACTACACAATAAAAAGAAAGCTGATTTCCGAAAGGGACGTGTGGCTACAATTACAAAATCGCAGAGTAACAGCAGTTACTGTCACGATTGAAACTCGGTTTGTTGTTCGGAGTAATGGCGGACCCTGGTTAATTTGTATTGTTGAGGGACAACAAAGTTATTGTGTTTTCAGAGCTAATGAGAGCGATAAAATCGAAAACAACAAAAAATAGTGTAAAAGGTTTTCTGGAAATTTCTGGAAGGGTGACAAGAAAACAGAAATAGAAGATATTACACCGGTGGAACGACGAGCAGTCATCAAATACTTTGTGCTTTGTGTGCGAAACTGAAATCGGATAAGAATACATGCCCCTCATTCATCACAGTTTTTATCCACAGCATCGATCGTTATCTGCGAAAAAATAAGTATCGTGGATTCTATGCGATTTTGAGCTCTTCAAATTAGTTCAGATTTATTTTGCTTGATTGAACTGACTATTTTGTATTATGCTGACTGAGCCACTATTAGAAACCTAATATTTGCAAACATGTATCTCCACGATAACACGTTAGCTCAAAGGTATGAATTTTATATTCTTGTGACAAAAGCAACATTTTGCCACTCGAACATAAAATTCATATCTTCGAGCCACAGTGTAATATCTTCTATGTACTACTAATTACCAGTATTGAGACTAAGACTTATTACTAGAACTAGTTTCTAGATATTGAAAAGTATGCGCATTAATTCTATTATTAAAAATGGCAAGGGCTTCTGAGTTTTACTGGTACAGGAAGCGAAATCCAGAGTTTTGTTCCACCATAGCAGAATCTTTTCTTTAGATATTCATTTCTGGGTTGCGGTAACTGCAATGAAGTGGAGAAATCCCTGAGGTTATAATGTGTAGTATTTTTCTTACTAGAGAAAAGATCTGCAAGGCGACTATCGAGTATCGTTGCTTACATTCTTTATTGGTCAACCAACATGCAGAACTATTTTGGAGTTTCAGCAGCCTAGTTGAGTGTCCTTGACCAAGGGTATCCCACACCTTGCTGCAGTAATTGAAGTGAAGTTGTATTAGAGCATTATATATTGAAAGTATCTAACTTTTTGTGCTGTCAGGCAGATGTGGAAAGAGTGGAAAAATAACAATTGTCAACCAAACTTTTGGAAGGTAATATATGTCATGTTTGATAATGATGATGATGGTGGTGGTGGTGTTTATAGCGATGTGGATGACATTGATTTATTCAAGACTCGACAAAGAGAACAAACGAAAAAGAATATAAGATTCTTATTTACTAGTGGATTCATTTAATTTGCTTTGCAAAGTCTAATCTCCCGGAATAAAAATAATAGCAGTTACTAGAGATGCGAGAAAACAAGGCAATGACCCTGGCCAGAACTCATACCCTGACCGCATTATTCAGAGTATATTTTGCTGGATTTAAAAAAAAAGCCGAAAGAAATTTCGGGCGCTGATTGGTTGAGAAGCGTATATTTATTCAGGGATCAGTAAGTATGTTCAAATGTTTACCATCATTGGAATAGTGTTTGCTTAACAATACGATAGCACACGTCATAATTAAGCGCTTTGATGTAGCTTAAGTATCGGACTTTCCGCACACTTCACAAGTAGTAAGTAATTCCCTGATAGGGCTTCGTTGTATTACTCCCACAATTTTTTTAGAAAAACATTGCATTAACCTCGACATCATTTCATGTTCCTAAAAACAACAGTTTCAGTCAGTACATTTGCGACGTTGTTCTTCAAGATCACTGACAGTTTTGTCTTCCTCTTGAGGTCAGGCTAATCGTTACGTTGTCGTGTTAGAAAATGGTGTTCCAGCAGTAGTTGTCTTATGGATTTCTAGACACAATTTCTGGCAACCGTTGTTTACTCTTTCCTTATTTAGGACGTGGTTCCTGATTCGCAGAAATCATGTGGTCCATACAAACCCAAACATGGGATGGGGTTAGTTATCACTTTGTAGATCATGTAAACACTTCTTTTACTTGTGTGCCGCAGTGAAATTTATTGTATAAGTTAAGAATGTTTCCACACTGAATGCAAATATGAAAGTATATATAAATATAAATATTGATTTATTCCTTTAGTTAAAGCCTACTTAACATGGTATGTCTTTGTTTTAATTTGCCCTTGGCCATACGATCAAGCTCGTCTTTGGACATTTTAAAAACGATTGAAAACATATGTTTTTAAAATCGCTTATGACTGTTTGGAATTTTAGTAAATCTTAGTTACATTGCATTTTTAGCACATTTTGTGCCTTTTATAGATCTTTGAGTTTGTTTTTGTTTGTTAGCTTCTTTTTTTCTTCTTCTTTCATTGTATTAGCGCTATATAAATGTATAATTTTATTATTATTATTATTATTATTATTATTAATTTCAACAGGAAACAGAGAACTTCAAGACGTAAATCACATAGAAACATCGGCAGACAAAATCATGATACTATTGGTAAAATTGAATTCTTCATGCAATGAGCAATCAAACAGGTGATGTTCAGTCATCTGCTTTGTCGGGCAACTGTTCAGTTGCTTTGTATACGAAGACCAACAGCTGGCAAATAGTCATCCATATTTGAAAATTACCATCGATTTCAGTTATACGCGACCATTCTTTAAATCTCCAAAACTCCGTTTGATTTTACTGTTGAGTTGGAATTCAATCACGAACTCAGATTGCAAAAAGAATGGAAAATCATCTTGTAAGTTTGCTCTGGCGAGCAATTTATTTTCTAGTATTAGGCTTTTCCAGTCAGTGATGTTGCAAAAAGACGTCACATAGTTTTGAGAAATACGGACCAATTTCATGAAAAAGCTTAGTAATCACTGATTATCACTGTTTTTCGTACCTGGAATTAGTACACAACACATTATTCATTAGGAATTCATTAACCACACCTGTACATTTGTCTGAGTTGGTAAGAGTTCCTCCACTGAAACCATAACAACTGAGTAACCAAAAATTTAACAACGTTTTCATCACCGCTAGATAATATCAAAGAATGCTAGAATCAGATATCAATTCATACAACCTAGTAGTGTTTGGACAGAAGTACGCAAATCAGTGTGTTCTGTTTCTTCGTTCCAACTTTTCTGTGGTTTTCCTCAGTGTTGCCTGGGTTAGGCTTTACATGACAATTGAAGTTAATGTATTTTCCCACTTTAAGTTATGTTTTGTTTCAGGAATGGTTATAGTTGATGCTGCTGGAAACATTGCTGCAGGAACAACTACAAATGGAGCAAACCACAAAATTCCTGGGTAATCAACCTTTTTTCGCAGAACTCGGAAAAACAGATTATCACACAGCTTGCCAAATCAGTCCGGATTTTCGCTACGTATGGCAAAATTGACATCTCTCCCTCCTTTGTTTCTTTTAATACTAGCCGTGTTGGAGACTCGCCTATCGCTGGGGCAGGAGCATATGTTGATAATGACGTTGGCGGTGCTGCTGCTACTGGGGATGGTGACGTCATGATGCGTTTTCTTCCGAGGTAAGAGGTGAAAATACCTTCTGTAAGGCTGCTGATTTGGTGTGTTAAAGAGGTGTGAAGCTGAAATAATAGTCGATTTACCTGAAAAACCAAGCATTTATGTTGTTGTAACAGGCTTAATTAGATCATCAAAGTTGTATTTTTATGTATACTGTTTACAATGATTTTAGTTTATACGGTTTCATACAGCTTAGAAACCGCACCTTAAGAAGATGTTGCCTCGTTACAAAGTATCCAACGCAACGTAGCATGTTTCTGCTCGCAGAAGTGTAACCGATGTGTGAGTGTCACGGATCTCTTGAAAGAGCTTGGGTTGGATACACTGAGATTGACACCAACAAAGACTAGATCGACGATCATGTCAAAATTAAGCCATGATTTGGTTGATGTAGATATTTTAATAAATTCTTAATCCATCACCCCGATCAATGAACAAGAAGTAGACACATGTGCCCTGAAAAAAACTTGAAATGGGCGGATGGTAAAGTCAAGGCTTTAGGTGTTTGGTTTTTGTACGGACCAAAATGAAGGAATGCAAATGAACTATGAAGACAAGTTTCACAAAGTTGAAGATATTCTTAACAATTGGCAAGACAAGAATTTCACGCTTCCTGGAAAGATTACAATTATAAAAACTTTAGCTGCATCCCAATTGGTCTATATTATGTCCTCATTACGTACATGCTTTAAATCGTTAAAAGATATAATGATTTGCTTTTCAAATTTCTCTGGGATGGAAAAAGGGACAAAATCAAACGGTCTGAAATGATTGCTGACTATGGCGATGGTGGTTATAAAATGTTGGACATCATGGCTTTCAATAAGTCTTTAAAGATCGCGTGGATAGCAAAGTATATTTCCGATGATTGTAAATCCAAATGGAAAACTTTTTGGGATTTCTATCTTTTAAAATGGGGAGGAAAATTAGTTTTTCTTGGGAACTTGGGGAAAAAAGACGCCACCAAACATGATATCAAGGATGACTTCCTTCGAGAACTTATCGAAATTTGGGTGGACTTTAATTTTAGAGACTCGTCCTCTCCAAACACGACTATTGTAGCAGTAAGATATGGAATAACGCATTAGTCAGAATTGCTAATAGGCCTTTTTTTTCTACAAGCACTTGGCCGAAGCTGGTGTACAAAATATCAAAGATCTTGTTAACGTTTACGGTCATAAGTTATAGAGACTTAGGGGAGAAATATTGCTTATCTGCCTCTTTCCTTGAATTTTATGGAGTGACCTCGGCAATAAGGAGCGCTATGAAGTCTTTGAAATTGAAGACGCGAAAAAGATCAGGGGTTTTCGGTGCAAAAACTGATTGCAGCAACCAAGCCGATTAAATTAGCGTATAAAATTCTTATCAAAAATTCTACTAGCCCCCAAAACAGTCAAGAAAAATGGGTAAAGGACCGTGACCTTGAAGTGGTGGCGGATTTGAGCTGGAGGTCGATTTATTTACTACCAAGGTTGTGTACGCTCTGTACTAAGATAAGGAACCTTCCAGTTCCAATTTCTCCACAGACGTATAGCAACGAATTCCTTTCTATCTAAAATAGGAATTTCAGAGACTGCTCTTTGCTATTTGTGAAAAACAGACAAGGAAACACTAATCCATCTTTTCTGGGAATGCTCGGTAACGAAAACCTTTTGGGGAAGGGTTCATTGTTTTTTCGTTTCAATCCATTTGAAACCAGCCTCACACGTTTTGGATATCTATGAATGTTTAGGTTTTAGAGGAGAGAAGGATGATATTTTAGTAAGCCACTGTTTGCTCCTCGCAAGGTATTATATTTATTGCTGTAAATTTAAGAACATCTCTCCATCTATCAGAGAATATGGAATATAACTTAGAACTTGAAAAACAAGTATCTATTGTGACCGATTCCCAGAATAAATTTCAACTGAAGTGGCACAAAATACTTCATACACTATAATTGCTATATAGTCGGCTGGCAGGCTCCAAATGTGAGCCTGCTTGCAGGCTATATTTTACTCTCCTTATCCTGATCTTAAGCCTCTGAAAATCAAGCTTGCTAAAAGCTGTACTTTTGGGTTCCTTGTCAAGCTTTTATTCTTATCTGTCCCACTCACAATTAAGCCTCTTTGTCTTTTGTAATTGTTAGTATTTTCTGAGTAAGTTTCTTTTGTTTTTTTTGCAAATGATGTGATATGTGTCTGTTTGTAGTATCACAAAGTAGTGTAAGCAAAACAATGTAAGTAGCATAAATATTAATTGTTAATATTGTAACGCAATGTACGTAGAGAGTATCCTTAATGTAGTCAATATAAGTATGATATTATAAGTACACCAATTTACGTTCAGAGAAGCACGTTTTTAAGTATTCATATTTTCTAAGAACTACCGCCGACTGGAACTTCCTCCCCGAGGTTATAGTTACCTCAAGTTCCTTAGATTCTTTTGAATCCAATCCGTCAATTTTTCTTGAGTAATTGATTTAGATTTATTTAGTGTTTTCCATTTTTTTTTTAAAAAAGTGTTTACAGTTGGTGTGTGGCCTTGAGATTTTACTGACCCAGTCTATGTAGTAAGATTTTGTAATTACGTAGAAATGAAATTTAACTTCTTGTGCGATATGTACTGACACATACTGTGAGATACAAGATGAATAGTTTTGTCTCGTTTCTTCTTAGTTTTCAGGCAGTTGAATTTTTGCGTCAAGGCAAGAGTCCTTCAGAAGCTGCATCACTGGCTCTGGGAAAAATAGCAAAATATTACCCAAAATACAGTGGAGGCTTGGTAGTAGTGAACAAGGATGGGGAGTTTGGTTGGTTAAGATTTATTTGCTGTCCATGTTTAAATCAGCATGTTAGGTTTGTTCTCAGTTTAACTTTCCTTCTGTTCTAGGGGCCGCTGCACATGGCTGGACATTCTTCAAGTACTCTGTTTGCAATCCAGACTTGGGAAAAGTAACAGTTTTTTCCGTCAAACCTATCAACATTTCAGCTTTCACTTAATGCGCCTTTGTTCTCCGTTTCCCTGTAATTTGTTATTTACGTCTGAGCGTGTGTTTGTTTGTGATGCAAGAGCTTATTTTTATTAGATATAGCAAAATACGAAACTGATATAAAGGGAATTCCCTAAACCGTAGATAGTTTTGTCTACCAGTAGTAATCAAAGATTATGAGCGCGTTCGACGCCGTGGCTTTAACATATACCTTAAATGATTTCACTTATTGACTTTCAACCTCTGTTTTTTGTTAAAATCAACATTTAGATATATCATAGTGTCAAAGTCCATGCTAATTAAGAACTACAAATTGGTAATACGTTGCGTAACGGCGCCAGTTTCCGTAGACTCACAAAAATATTTACATTATTTCGTGCTAAATATTTTCACATAAACTGGTAATGTTTAAGCGTAATAGGTAATTCGTAAAATTATATATTTTTTACGTACATTCTTCTAAGCTGGAAGGACAAACATGAGCAAACATTTGCAATCGCGTCCTTGTTATCGTAAACAAACTCCGTCCAACTGATTAGAATATTTCCCCTGATGAATAAAAGTAGACAGTATTTTTAAATTACCTGTCCTTGGTTCAGGCTCACTCTTATGGATCTTGCCTTGAGGGTACTTTTCCACCGATTCCAATGAACAAATTGACGTCAGTTTTTTATGCGTCTGTCCTCTTATTGATGGTAAATTGCATTATAACATTGTCAAAGTGGCTGTGGAACCACGAGCTGCAGGCGAGTGGTTCCGCTGTAAACTTTGACAATGTTATGACGAAATTTATCATCAACAAGAGGACAGACGCATATAAAACTGTCGTCAATATGTTTTTTACAATAACAAGACCCCAAAATGGTCAAATGCCAGGAATAAATGAGGGGAAAAGACGCCATAAACTTGCCGTAAACAAAGACAAGTAAATTTTGTTCAAAATGACGCGAACATTGTTAATAGCTTTTCTCGCTTTTTGATTAGCTACTTCAAAAGGTTCCAAAAAATCTCATTGGTTAAAACGTTGACAGTTTGACAGCTGAAAGTTGAACTAAAAAGCTTGCATAAATTCAAATTTTATCCATCTGTACTCTTATTGATGATAAAAATGAGCCAATCGGCGCGCGAGAAATAAGACAGTTTTGTAAAAACAATATTCGAGCGCACAACATTCGACCGGATGAAGACTGAGCTATCTGTGGCCAATGGAACTAATCGACAAATGTAATCAAACTACAGCCAATGAAATATTGCTGTTCCTATGGTTAAAATCCCAAAGCCAAGGTGATTCAAAGTCGTGTTCGTGAACTTGTAAAATAAACTATAAACCAGGAGGTAGTCTCTAGAAATCCGCTTTACGATGCTCACCTGCTCAGACGCTACGAAAACCGCGAGGTGCGCGACAGTCTGCGCATATGGCATATGACATGACGTCATTCAAGATGGTGCAGAAAATGCAGAAAATCCTTCCCCTCCTCCATCCCCATCTTTCCTTTTTTGGCTCTCACCCTATTTTTCGCGCAGGCAAAACACCGAAAATCCCGTTCCTCGGGGTGCTTTCATTATGCCAAACCGACCGGTCGCAGATCAGTGGCGATACCCGACAAAAATGGAACGACATTTTCCGATTAAACCGGGCCACCCAAAAGGAATGGCTCTTACCTTTTTTTAGTCCTTTTCCGAATTCCCTAATTAAGGCAAAAACGGGTTTGTCAAAAATGGAACGGCGAATTTCGGTCGGAATATTCCGGCCGAAATAAGTGGACCACCTCCAGAGGTGATCCCGAATATTCCCGTCGGAAGAACCCGAAACGGACCTTTCCATTTGAATTCCGACCGAAATTTCCGGATTCTTTGGCAAAATGGAAAGCACCCTTGGTCATTCTTTGCTCCCAAACCCCACGGAAACACTTGCTACGCAGGCTACTATCCTTTCTACACATCGATGGTACTACTACTGGAGGGTTGAGCTCCTGAAATTAGTTTTCGGAAATCAAAGCGAACAATTTCGTCTAGACCACCGTAGCCTTTGTCGAAAAAGTAAAGACCACCACGGTTTTGCCAGCCTCTAGAAGGCTCGTGATTACGCCAGATTATAAGTTTCAACCGCGGGCGTGGAATCCACGCAAGAAAATCCTGCTCAGTCTTGAGTACAAACTCACATAAATCGCATTGGAAGACGAATCCCACATAGCGGGAGCAATACTAGAGATACTAGATAGAGATTCGCGAACTGAAATGCGATCCAAGCATCAAAATCTTGCCCAAAGACAAATATCGCAGTCACACAACAGCTCTTACGAAAAGCTTTTTATGTCTATATGTAGTAATTTAATCGTCGCAACACGATCCCATACGCACAGTTTGATTTTGAGGTCATTTGAATAAAAATAGATCGATTCGCGCTACAACTGTACGGCAAATTTGACTGGAAAAAAAGGTCAAATAGGACTCCTCTGTTCCCTGTGTACTAGCCACACTAAACGTCGGCATCCGAGAAGTGTGCAGTTTTAAAATATCACAAAAAGTATGGTTATGTTCAAGTCCTTTAACTTCTAGTCACGGGAGCAGGAGATAAATGTGCGCGGCGGTAACAAAGGTGATGTAATTACTTTTATTAGACAAGCATTTGAAGACTAAAGACGTAATGTTAAATGCACAATTTATAGGACTAATTGGATTATTCAAATATGGCCAAATTTGTACCCTTAATGAAAAATTACAGCCAAATTTGGCTAATAATGATAACGATCACAATCACGATCACGATAATAACGGTTTATTCGCGTAACATCCGCGCAGTGGCTGTTTGTTTCTGAAGACCTACTTACATGCAATACAACTAAAAATTACGCTAACATGACGGCCTCTTGACGCTAACTATATAGAAAATAATTATCAAAACAGAAAGAATCGTCCCCGGGTGGGCTTGAACCACCAACCTTACGGTTAACAGCCGAACGGGCTAACCGATTGCGCCACGGAGACTTCCTTGTACAATTTTCATCAAATTTAATTGTGTGGATGAAAATTCAACTTGTGTAAGGTTTCTGCTACATTATTGTATCGTGCTCGAAAAACATGAAAAGCGGAAAACTGGAGAAGTTGGGTAGAAACGATCTTGGCCGATGAGATAACACAAAACAGGTGTTAGAGTACCAGTTCAACAGAGAGAGGTGGATTAAGACCTTTGTCAAATGGGCTTTGGGTGCGAAAGGTCCTAGGTTCTACTCCCGGACAGGCTATTTTAAATACTCTTTTGTCAATGAAAACAACATAATAACGAAACAGACAATTTTGCGATGGTTTTTCTGACGTCACAACGGCCATATGAAACAAAGGAATACTTTCCTCCTTTACAAGAATCACTTTTATTTTTGCGCAGACAATTCCAACTGACTACCATGAAACCGTTCTACATTAAAATATGACTCAATCAAGTGTTTCTGTTGGCCGGGAAACATTTCCAACGACTTCTAGGAAAATATTAAACTAAAGTAATTTTAATCGAGTCCTTGTTTTGAACCAATCAGGGGGAATAAACTAATGAAAAAAAAAGAACAATACAGGAAAAGAGAAATCAGAGTACAGTCAGTTAGAATTCTTAAAATAGTATTTTCCAGCTGGTTTACTTAAAAGGAAAAGTTGGTCCGTGTGAGGGTCGAACTCACAACCTTGGCGTTATCAGCACCATGCTCTACCGACTGAGCTAACGGACCACACTCATTTACTTCGGTGCCGTTTTTTATTAAGTATTACTGCCTTTGCAAAAGAACGTTTTCAAAAGTTTGGGGTAATGAGGAACAGCACCTACTTATTGGCTTTGTTCAAACTGGTTCGGTTTTATTCTTTAAGATATATGTATATATTGTTAACGTGCTTTCTCAAATGATGAGGACATTTTTGTTGAAATATAGTTATCCCAAAATTATTTATTAGAAGTTGTTTCCCATTTTCTAATAATGTCTCGTCAATATCAGTAGCTTATGTTCTAAATAACAAGGAACTAGTATGAAAAGCAACACGTTTTCTTAAATGATCTGTTTACGCTGAAATGAAATTCTAAGTACATTGTTTACGTGACATTATATTAGTTTTAAGCCTTTTTAAAAAACAAAGCTTAAAACTAATTACCAGGTCATGCCTCAAACGTTGATTTTTCAATAGTTAAAGTAACTTGTATATGCTTTGGGGAATAAGCTCAAATAGTAGAGCGCCCGCTTAGCATGCGGGAGGTACCGGGATCGATACCCGGATTCTCCAGCAGTCTTTATTGCTGCGGAGCGAGCGTAGTGAGCGAGCAGCAACATAATCAGGATTTAAGAAGAATATATAGAAGGGGTACGAATTCTTGAATTCATCACTTTTTACCAGAATGCATTGCAGTTAACCAGACTGCACTGCGCCACTTTTACCGGAGTGC